AGGAATGCTTAGCTTCTAGTTTACGTGTATGTGGATACGTGTACCAATGTTAAAAATTACATTATGACCATACATTTATCATCTACAAATTTGATTTTAATATCTATGTATAAATAAGTAATTCGTTTGATGATAAAGTTTGTTTGTAAAATAGAAAAATTTCAATGCATTATTATAGAAAAAATCGAAATTATTTGTTAATTTTATATGTAATTGTCATTAGATACAATAAAAATAATTTATATTTAATTAAACAGATCATCAAGCATCATTAAGCACAATTCAATATTAGAACATTTTTTACAGCCATCTATCATCCTCCACCATATTGATTTTAAGCATTCTAAACCTTTCTTACTTTGTCGGATTCTATTTCTAATTTTTGCTGGCCCCAATCCATTTCGGACGATGATTCCGATAGCTCCGAGCTTTTTGTTTAGCTTTTTGTATAAACAAATTATAGGAATCAGCTACATTGCTACATATTATTTTTCTATATAATTTCCATTTGGATGAAGTTGCGGGTAACTAACCAGTTGCCCATGAATGCTTCTACTTGATCTCTAATTAGTCTCAAATTGTGCTTCTTTGAGAGGCACGATTTCGTAAATATGAGAAAATCGCATGGCGATAAGTATGGACTGTAAAATGGATGATGGAGTGTTTTCCAGTTCATTTTCATCAGTTCCTGCTACGTTGTCGTGGAGAAACAACACCTCGCGGATGAGACAATGTCGTTTTTTGTGTCGATACTAAAGATTAACTTGATCCAAGAGACCGCGGTAGTAAGAAATCGGTGTTGTAAATAAGTATTTTACCAGCAGATCACCCAAAAAACCGTGACCAACACTCCCCGCATTTATTCAGGTTATCTCCATCTTATCAAAAAAGATAAAATGGTTCGACAACGATTTTCACGAGTTCAGAAAACATGCAAAAAAAACTCTTGAAAACTAGACTCCACCAGACTTAATGACTAATATACACGCTGATTCACATAAGAAGCGACACAGAGTAGGGACATGTAGAGTACAATAAATGAAGATGATTTAACGCAACTTACCTCTAATACTAAATTGTACCCTTGAGGAATTATAGACCTTCAAAGTTGGGTCTTAAATTTTTAAAATATTCAATATCTTCGTAGTATATTAAGCTAGAAAAACCAAATTTGGTATACGTTATGAGGCCTTTCAAAGGGTTGATTAAGGGTGATGGTCCCCTAAATTTTGACAGATTTTTTTAACCAAATAGAAGGCAACCTAATCGGAAGTTATTTAGGAATCTGTACAATCGCCTTGGCGAGACGGGCTCTTTTCATCCTAAAAGTAACAGTGGTTCGACAAAAAACATTACCGTCGACGAAGAAGAAGAGATCCTGGTTCGAGTTGCAGAAAATCCATCTGTAAGTACCTGCCGATTAAGAATTGCAACCGGAATAAGCCAATCGTCAGTGCATAGAGTTTTTAAGAACGAAAAAATTCGGCCATATCATTACACTCCCGTTCAAAACTTATTACCGCAAGATCGTACAGCACGACTAAATTATGCCCACTTTTTACAAAACAAATACGAGAAAATGAAAATTTTCTTGACAAGATTCTGTTCACTGATTATGCGACATTTACAAGATGGGGCCTTTTCATCTGGAAAAACAATCACTTAAGGGATTCCGTGAATCCACATGCTGTGAGGGAAAGACATTTTCAACACGAGTTTAAAGTAAATATTTGGTGGTTTTCATTGGTCCGTTTAAATTCCCTCCCAAATTAAATGGATGTGTGTACATAAGTTTTCTTCAAGATCATCTACACGAGCTTTTACATGACCTGCCAGACGCTCTAAAAGAAAACATGTGTGTAATGTATAGAGAACTTGAATGCGCATGACTGCAAACAGGTTTGGGTGATTACGAGTATCAGGAGAAGGAGTCGGTTATAAAAGCGTCAAGAAATAAGATGGTAAAAAGACATGTAAATTAAGTGAGAATAAAGTATTCTTCATAATATAGTTTATTATGAAGCGAAGTGTTTATTATAAACCATTACATTGGCGACGAGGATTAAAATAAAATGCCAAATCAGCAAGGAGAGGAAGGTTCGAGCGGCGGAGCACAAGTATTGGGCCAGTTACGCGAATTTAAACTCCATGTATCTGATTGGAATATTTACAAAGCACGTCTCAATAATTATTTTCTGGCTAACACAATAGAAAATGACGATAGGAAAAGAGCGGTGCTACTTAATATGCTGGACGAAGACGCCTACAGGCTCGTGTTTAATTTATGTATACCGATTGTACCGGAATTAAAATCCTTCAATGATATACTATTTATGTACTATTATTTTATATATGTACTATTTTTGCAGAAAGGATAAAATTCTACGAGTCGCGGAAAGAAAAAAATGAAGCTGTTAAAGATTGGGCAACACGTGTTAGGAGTTTAGCGATCACGTGCGATTTCGGCGATTATCTGGAGGTAGCAACAAGAGATAAATTCATCACTGGATTCGAAAGGGGTGCAGTGCTCGATCGTTTGCTGGAAGAAAAGTTAACAGTGACATTTTTAAAAGCGGTCGAAATAGCAGAATCGAAAATGGCTGCTCAAGATTCCTTTAATATCCAAATCAAGAAAGAAGAGGTTTATACTGTCCGAGGAACCGGTACAGGAGGAAAACGCGCAGGACATGGTACGAATTGGGAACGTCATCATCAACGTCAGAGCAGCGACGGCGCAGAAGAGTATCAACAAAGAAGGCGTCAAAATTTGACGAAGAATAATCGTGGAGGAGCCGTAAGATGCAAAGTATGCGGTTACAAAGGACATGTAAAAGATAAGTGCAATTATCGTAATTATTTTTGTAAAATTTGCAATAAAAAAGGCCATTTAGCTAGAGTTTGTAGACAGAGAATCGGTAGAACAAATTTTGTAAATGATGAAACAGCTGATGACATCGTGTTGTACAATGTAAACACATTTAAATCCGTAGCTCCGTATTTTTTGAATTTAATAATAATGGGTAAACCATTTAATTTTCAAATCGACACAGGATCGTCGTTATCGTTAATTTCGGAAGGATTGTATAAGCAACAATTTCCAAATGTGGCGTTATGCGACAATAAAGTAAAGAGTTTGTTTTTTTATGATGGGTCAATGGTTAAACCGGTTGGTAGTTGCAGATTGAAAGTTAAATATAACATGAAAACATTCGATTTTGATTTTCACGTATTAAAAGACGGTGGACCTCCGATAATTGGTCGAGATTTTTTAAATAGATTTGAGGTTAAATTCAATATGGGGTTTATAGATAATGGAAAATCACAAGTTTCACAATTGTTAGAAAAATATAAAGGAATTTTTGATGATCAATTGGGAAATTTAAAAAGGGTCTGGCTAGTATTAAGTTAGGTAAATTGGTCCCAAATTTTATAAACCTAGACCAGTACCGTATGCGATTAGAGAATTAGTTAGCGATGAAATTGATAGATTGTGTTCTTTAGGAATACTAGTACCAGTGGATTTTAGTCGATGGGCGTCACCAGTTGTGCCAGTTCTGAGAAAGGATGGAAAAGTGCGGCTGTGTGGCGATTATAGAATTACGATAAATCCACATATCGAAGTAGATAAACACCCGCTGCCGAGGATAGAAGACCTATATAGCAAGTTACAAGGAGGAAAGAAGTTTACGAAGCTAGATATGGGACAAGCTTACCAGCAGATAGAGTTGGACGCGCAATCACAGGAGTTGGTAACAATTTCTACCCATAAGGGATTATTTAAGCAAACGCGATTACCTTTCGGAGTATCGTCAGCCGAAGCTAAATTTCAAAAGATCATGGAATCTTTACTATACGGCATGAAGGGTGTAATAGTATTTTTAGATGATATTCTGATAACGGGCGCATCGGATACTGAACACATAGATAATTTAGAAAGAGTTCTTAGTAAATTAGATGAAGTTAACTTAAAATTGAAACGCGAAAAATGTTTTTTCTTTAAAGAACAAGTAGAGTATCTAGGGTACGTCATAGATGCAGAAGGTTTACATCCGTGCAAAAAGAAAATAAGTGCTATTAAGAATTGTCCGAGACCAGAAAATGTAACGCAATTAAAGTCATTTTTAGGTATGGTTAGTTATTACGGTAAATTTATAAAAAACTTGTCTACAGTATTATACCCGTTATATAATTTGTTGAAAGATAAAGTTAAATGGCAGTCGCAAAAATGTCAAGAATCTTTTGACGAAATAAAACAGTTAATGTTATCGACCAAAGTTCTAGTACATTTTAATCCAGAAATGCAAATAAGATTAACAGTTGATGCTTCTTCATATGGAATAGGGGCTGTTCTCAGCCATGAGTTCGAACGGGGAAAAGATAAACCCATTGCTTTCGCGTCGCGAGTGTTAACGGCGGCCGAAAAAAGGTATTCTCAAATTGAAAAAGAAGCTTTAGCAATAATATACGGGGTACTAAAATTTAATCAGTATTTATTCGGAAAACGGTTTAAGCTAGTAACCGATCATAAGCCATTATTAACGATTTTTGGAGAAAAGAAGGGAATTCCGGAATTTGCTGCAAATAGATTGCGTCGTTGGGCGGTAATTTTGTCTAATTATCAATATGATATAGTTTATGTTCCTTCTAAAGACAACGTAGCAGATTGTTTATCACGTTTACCATGTAAGGAAGAAAATACGGTTAAAATAGAAGATGTTGAATTAGATTATTGTTATTTTTTTAATAAAAGCGCTGACCTCAATTTAGATTTAAACTTGATAGTAGAGGAAACGAAAAAAGATCCAGTTTTATGTATATGATAAACGTTTAAAACAATATTTTGGTAAGCGCCATGAATTGGTAATTTCAAAAAATATAATAATGTGGAATCACAGGGTAATTCCTGTGAATTATTAAGAGAACTCCATGCGACGCACATGGGAGTTGTAAAAATGAAGTCTTTGGCACGTGCATATTTTTGGTGGCCTTACTTAGATGAAGCAATAGAAAAAGTTGCAACAAGTTCGAAATATGTTCGAAATTAAGCAATAATCCTCCCAAAACAGAGTTGAAATGTTGGGAATGGCCTAAACGCGCTTGGGAACGTCTGCACATTGATTTTTTAGGGCTTATAAAAGGTAAACAATATTTGGTTATCGTGGATGGATACACCAAATGGATAGAAGTTGCTCAGACGAAATCGACCGATACGCAGTCAGTAATAAGAGTATTAAGAGAAATAATAGCGCGATTTGGATTGCCCGATTACATTATATCAGATAATGCCACATGTTTTTCAGCGGAAGAGTTTAAAACATTTATGAAAAAGAATGGTATTAAACACGTGACGTCTGCTCCCTATCATCCGCAATCCAATGGAGCCGCTGAAAATGCGGTAAAAATTATCAAAACGGCGTTAAAAAAGGCTCACGAAGAATCAGTGGATAAGCAGCTGGGATTATGTCGTTATTTATTTGACTATCGTAACACAGCCCACTGCACAACTGGTGTATCGCCGGCTGAATTAATGTTTGGAAGAAAACTAAAAACTAGGTTTGATATAATTTTACCGGGTAGGAAATATAAAAGTAACAAAACGGTTCGAAAAATAGTAAAGACTAAACAAGGTAAACAAAAAGAATATTTTAGAGGTTATAAATNAATTTTTTGGTTAAGGCGCACGTTGGCGCAAGATTTCTTTCTTATGCTATGTACACCATACCTTCAGCAATAAAAAAATGTTAGCTACAATTGTTCGATTTTGTTCGCTCGCAAGATATTTAATTTAAAAGATTGAATGGTCAAAAAATATAAGTATTTATTGACGTCAATAGAAATGGTTGTAATTTTTTTCAACAAACATCTTTTGAAATTTGGAAAGGCGTAAAATGAAGACCTTTCTGTACTTTATAAGAAACCAACGACACAATATTTTCAAGTAGTGATATACCATCTTTTTTGTTTTCTAAAGTTGTGTCGTTTTCTAAAAAATTTCCTTATACAAAATAAGGTAATTGTAATAGCAGTTTATTTCGCGCAGTAGCTATTATAAAACATCAAAGACTTCATAAACTTCACTAAGGGTCTATTAATAGTTAAAATATATGTAACATTTAGAAAAACAACAGTGTTTTCGGACCACTGTGCGTCTGCTCCTTATCATCCGCAATCCAATGGAGCCGCTGAAAATGCGGTAAAAATTATCAAAACGGCGTTAAAAAAGGCTCACGAAGAATCAGTGGATAAGCAGCTGGGATTATGTCGTTATTTATTTGACTATCGTAACACAGCCCACTGCACAACTGGTGTATCGCCGGCTGAATTAATGTTTGGAAGAAAACTAAAAACTAGGTTTGATATAATTTTACCGGGTAGGAAATATAAAAGTAACAAAACGGTTCGAAAAATAGTAAAGACTAAACAAGGTAAACAAAAAGAATATTTTAGAGGTTATAAATTGCGAAAATTTTATAAGGGGGAGGATGTTATGGTTAAGGATTATAGAGTTAAGTCAAAATGTAATTGGATACGAGGAAAAATTAAAGAGTTATTAGGCAATGTAATGTATTTAGTTGAAATACCAGAGATTGGAGTGTGGAGAAGGCACGCTAATCAAATAAAAAAAACCTGGCAAGGTAATATAAAAAAAAATGATAATTATCTTAATACCGCGGAGAAAACGACAAAAACATTTGAAAGTCGAACAAAGCGTAGATCTGATTTTATGTTAAGGCCGAGAACTAATTTAAGATCTCCTGATAGATTAAAATATGATGTATAAGGTATATAGTAATTAGTTTATGTAGTATATAAGATATAGGGTTAGTTTAATGACTATTTAATTTAGGGGGAAGTGATGTAATGTATAGAGAACTTGAATGCGCATGACTGCAAACAGGTTTGGGTGATTACGAGTATCAGGAGAAGGAGTCGGTTATAAAAGCGTCAAGAAATAAGATGGTAAAAAGACATGTAAATTAAGTGAGAATAAAATTTAGTTTATTATGAAGCGAAGTGTTTATTATAAACCATTACAATGTGGATTATGCAGGACGGTCCGCTACCACATTATAGTCTTCCTGTGCGTAATTATTTAAATGAACATTTTCCGCATCGTTGGATTGTTCGTGGAAGTGAATATGCATGGCCAAGTCCAAATTTAAATCCACTGGATTTTTCAATATGATCGCAAATGAAAGAAATGGTGTCAAAAACAGAAACAGAATTATTTCGATCGAGGAATTGAGGCGAAAAATTCAAGATGCTGGGACTGCAATTCGAAATAATGATCAATTGTTATTTAATATTCAAAGGTCTTTAAAAAAGCGAATTTTACAATGTGTTGAGGTTAATGGTGCACACTTCGAAAATTTACATTAAATTCTATTGTTATTAATTAATTGTTATTGTTATCGATTATTATCGTTACTGATTGCTATAGTTACTGTGTTTTATTGATTTTAAATGTTATCTTTAAGAAAAAAAATTACTTTGCAATAATAAAAAGCAGATAATTTGAAATCCAGTGGACTTAGACAATTTAAGCAACACTATCTTTTTTGTGTAGAATTGAATGCTCTTTCAGTTTTGTGGTTTTAATCCACTATACCTCAATTGACAAAATAGTCATGACTTGATCAAATGAGCAGTATGTATCTAGCGCCCTCTACGAGCATTCACAAAACAAGTTTCAAATTCGTATTTTTCCTGCTCGAAAACATAAAACTACCAAATTTTATGTTAATAGTACAAAAAACCTCAAAATTAGAGAGTTCGGTTCGCAACAGCGAGTAGAACACACACGTAGTGTTGTGTCCCAGCTTTATCGAGCGGTTTAGGTGGTTTATCTCTGATTGGGAATTATTATTTTTCGCTTATTGGCATAAAAGTTAGTACCGATTCTTTCGATCTACTTTTTTCAAGGATTTCAGTTTTGGTTTCTCTACTAATTGAATTCTAGTCCGCGCAGTGGGGATGGCCGAAGAGGCCGGCCCGCCCGGGTTTACTGCGGAGTTGGGCCAGTTGGTTGATCTCACAGCAGAGAAGGATGTTGATGTCGCGACGATTATTTCCGTGGACGGAGGTAATCGTACGAATTATTCTACTGTTGTCAAATCTTTAAGCACAAATACCGAAAGTAATTCGTCATTTGCTTCGGTACTAACAAAAGGCGTAAAAAACAATTTTCCTGATAGAAAACAAGCAATAATTTTTAATGAAATTGAGGGTAATCAAAAAAATGATTTTATAATAGGGGTCGGTCAGTTAATGGGTCCGCGTAATTTTTTGTTTGCATCGCGAGTATCAAATAATAGAACATGCATATATCTTTCATCAGCTCAGCTGGTGGAAACCTTCGTAAAATAACACCAAGGAATTACGTTAAATAATCAGTTTATAAAGGCCACGTTTGGTATCTCCTGCCAAACGAATAATTATCTCAAATGTGTACCCCTGCATAGCTCACGAAGTGATAGATCGTGAATGATGTGTGTATGGTGTTTGGAGGTATGTGTATAGAGGTTTAGAAATTGGTTGAATCTGGTCATTTAAACATATAATGTTTCGATTGTTGTTCTTGAACTTATTTATCTCGTAACTTTCCAATAATTCTAGCATATAGCTTTTGTTTTTACGGTGTAATATTGTAGCATGAATGTTCTCATCAAACTGATGTTCTGTATTAAAGTTCAAGTGTCCACCAAAATTCGATGATGACTTGTTCTTATGTTCTTTTATTCTTGTATGAAGGGCCCTCCCCGTTTCACCTATGTAAGTTGCCTTACATGTACCACACTCGAGTTTGTAAACACTATTATCCTTCAGCATATCAATTCTGTTCTTTCCGTTATTTAATATTTGACCAATAGTGTTGTTCGTCTTACATGAGATGAGGATGTTATATTTCCTAAAGATATTCTTAATTTTGTTACAGGCTTTACCTTGATAGTTTATGGATCTATATGTAATTGGTTCTTCTTAGTTTTGTTGGCTAAGGCTAGTATAAATCTGTATAAATCTGTATTGCTTGGCTTGGTAGTATTAGTAGTTTAGGACGGGGGTGGAAAGCCACCTCCACCGTTTTGTTATCATGGTGGATCAACTGAACGCTACAGATTTAGATAGTTATGCTGTGGAAATAAATCTTAAAGATGCTCTTGAGTTTGTGAGATATATTGAGGCAAACACAACCAATCTTCTTGATTCTATAACATTTGAACACATTAATTATACGCCGCACAATGTAAAATGGCCATTGAGCGTGGTTGCATACAGATCAACGATAAAGAAAAATTAATTATTGCGGACGATACTATTAATCTTGGGAAAAAAATCCTAGCAGATAAGGGATGTCTATTTGATAATTTTTCATATAATTTTAACAACTTTCGCTTCTCCAACATGGATTCGTCTCCTTTCATCGTCTACATCGACTCTATCGACAAATATATTACTGCTTTAAGCGATATGAAAATAGGGAAATACTTCTATGACCAGATGATACCTGGTGTAAAACTCGTTGAAAAAAGAGGGAAAAATAGATTAGCAATAGAATTCGATTCATATGTCAATGCCAACAAATTCCTAGATGCCAACTTTGATGCGGTAAATAACTGGAGAACATATATACCAACTCATCTGATATCTTGCAAAGCTATCGTCCGTAATATAGACCCATCCTTTACCGAAGAGGACATCAAACAAAATTTAATCACAGACAATGAGAGGGAAGTTCTTGCAGTGAGAAGGTTCAAAAGGAAAAAAGGCAAAGAAGTTAGTGGAGATTCAGGCTCACAAATAGAATTTGAATACAGAGATACTTCAACATTATTAGTTACGTTCGCAGGAACGGTAATTCCTAATTACATCAAATTATTTTTTAATGTAAGAAGAACTGAATTATATACAGCACCAGTAGTACAATGTCACAAATGTTGTCGATACGGGCACACTAAGAAAATTTGTAAATCTAAATTAAGATGTCCAGGGTGTGCGGAGGAACATGAGTTCAAACAATGCACAAAAAAGGAAAACCCCAACTGTATTTTTTGTAAGGGTGATCATTTATCTACAGAGATGGGTACTCCTTTTAGTGAGAGTATTTGTCCTGAATTTACAAAGCAATCTACGATTAAAAAACTAATGGCAACTTACAACATTTCTGCTTTCGAAGCACTGATGGCGGTTAATAAGACATCGGACCAACAGTTTGCTATTAATAGACTAAATGATGATATTAATTTTCCTAGGTTACCTTCTAATAGCCAGTCTAGTAGAGGTTTAGATACAAACAGTAACAAAACGACTACACAATCTAAGAAAAATTTTACAATTAAGAGAGTAACCAAGTCGCATAATCCAGCAAGTTCTCCTAAACGTAGAAGTGGGACTCTCCCAGAACTTATGTTATTTCAGGATGGAAGAACGCCAGAAACTCTAGTTAAGAAAATTCGTCCTACTGAGGAAGGTTTTAATAGAGCCGACTTAAAAGCTAATTTGGAAGAGATGTGCGACGCAGACGAAATTAATTATCATGTGAATGAGAATGAGATAAGATCTCCAACCTTGTCGAACGATAGTTTTGTTTCGGCTTCATTTGTAGCACCATCTACCATTGTTTCTCGTGTACATTACACCAAAAATAACTCTACTTATTTTAATGGATAACACAAATTCAAGTATTAATATTATGTTATGGAACTCCTGTAGTTTAAGCAGAAACAAGCCGAATTTTTATAATTTTATCGCCGAGTCTCCCCAGGATGTCATAGCCATCTGTGAAACTTGGCTAAAGAAAAATTTTTTGGTAACTACTAATGGTTTCAATGCTAGACATATCACAAGAACTGATGGGTATGGAGGACTTTCCATTTTGATAAAAAGAGGTGTACAAGCGACATGGCTAGACGATCCGATGGTGATCGAGGAGAGAATTCATTTTGCCAAGTTCAGGGTGGAAGGTATTACTTTTATGACGGGGTACTTTCCTCCTGATTTGGGTTTTAGTATTTATGATTGGAACCAATTACTCTTGAATATTACTGCATCTTTTAGTATTATTATTTTACTATCTTTTATTATTTTGGGCGATTTTAATGCACACCATCCTTTATGGGGAAGTTACACTGTGAACGAAAGAGGCCTGGCATTGAACGAGCTAATTGAAACATTGGATTTGATCGTGATGAATGAAAAAAGAGCAACTTTTTTAAATAGAAATAACAATGTCAGCGTTATAGATTTGATTATTTGTTCATCGGATTTAGTGAGAAACGTTGTGTCAAAAACCGATTGAGACACTTTGGAAAGTGATCATTTTCCCGTCTTAGCTAAGGTACTTACTAGTAGGACTCCATTCCCTTGCAAATTCAAAACCCAGAAAACTGATAGGTTTAACTACAAGATGGCAAACTGGACTAGTTTTTCAGAACACATTGACAACTGTTTAAAGCTGGAAACATCACCTTCTTACGAGGCATTGATAATGGCAATCATAGTCAAGAGGTATATAGCTTTGAGTAAAAGACTTCTACTAAAAAAGAAACGAGAATCTTTCAAACAGTTCTGCAAATCACTATCCAGGGAGTCATCATTAGGAATAATATGGAGAACCATTAGGCATTACGACAGAGCCATTAATGGCACTGAAACCCAATCATCGACAGACTTCGCATGGACCCGGGATTTTATGTCTCACCTTTGTCCGGAGTATGTGCCTAATTTGGAAGAGGTTGAAACCGGTATAATTGAAGAGTCGGATATTAATATAGGCAAACCATT